AAAAAGTTTATAACTGTTTAAAAATTATGCTCAGCAGAAGACAGTTTTAAACCACATGGGGAAAGAACAATCCTGTTGAATGGTGAACCTGATTGTACCCTATATGACCACTATTGAAGAAGGACCTAAGCAGAGGATTGTCTTATTCTTCCTTAGCGAGGATTTGTGGCCGAATTTTTGAGTTTGCTATCTTAATAAAAAGAATGTAATAGGGACAGATATGGTTCAATGGCCACGGATGTTTGCGATTTGGAGCAGTCTGATCGTTTTGTCGGCCATGAGTGTCGCCCAGTTGTTTTTTGTCTGATCAAAAATTCGTCGGGCATTTTCAACTTCTGGTTGGACCGAAAATGGTCGTCCAGTTATCAAAGTTGAACAATCCGTCGATCCCGGGACGGGACCGCTTTCGGAGGGTTTCCCAGTTTTAATTAAGAAAAGTAGGCCCGGATTCCCGCGGGGTAGGTCATTCCTAAACCAGGCGAAATTGTTACGGTCCCGCGGGTATGCTGATTACGTCTGCAGGGATAGACTGTTGTTAAATAAAATTGGTCGAAGACGGGAAAGTGGTGCAAATTGTCGGTTCAGCTCTCGACCGAAAAACAAAAGACAAAGGAGGTAACTGCGAACTGATTGCGTCCTTGTCGCTGGGCGTGGGTCAGAAAAACCAAAGTTGAAGGCCGGTACTACTTGAAACTGACTTCAACGGATAAAAAATAAACAAAATTGACACTTGGCTCGACTTTCAAATCGATTTAATTACCACGGATATAATTAAGTGTATGTCAGGTGAATAATACCAGACGGCGGAACTGCTCTTACGCTGATGAAATTGCGATTCTACCACGCAATGCTAGTTGAGACCACTTTCATAACGCAGACATGTAGAAAAACCGCTTGTTCATCGGCCGCACTTCGAATAAATGAGATCTCTATGAGGTCATTGTAGCATCACTCCGACGCGCTTCCTACTCTCTTGATAAAATTGCTAAAATATGACTGAATATGACGTGCTTACACTTAAAATGAAACTTTGTTTTTCTGATACTCGAGTCGGAAGGATATCTGAGATATTGCAATGGGTTTGGATTTAGGGTGCGATCCAACACATTTATTCTGCTATAACTTTGCCTCAAGTTAAGCACCAAATGTTCTTGCCCTAGTCCTAATCTTCAAAACATTAAAAATCATAACAATTCCGAGAGCAAAATTTATCTAGGACGTCATATCGCTTAGACTTTGACATGGACCAGTTGTTTTAAATTGCTGAATCTAAATTGTAAAAATTATCGAATGAGAGAACTTAGGAGGATAGTAGGACGAGAAGAGATCGACTTTGATCAGATGTCAATAATTAATTAAAACAGTCATGCCTATGCACTAGCGAACTTTCTAAAAACTTCTTTCTTTTCGTAAAAGGAAGAAAATTTTAAGCCAGGATTTTTCAAATGCGATTTCAAGACCTCGAACCCTCCAGAGGTTATTCAACAGAAGGAAAAAGAAATTAATTCGCCAACTTTCACATCCTGATCGCGTTCTCTTCGGAAATCGTGAAATTAATTTTTATTGTTTCTCGTGCGAACCCCTACCCGGAGTTTAGTACGTGCAAGAGCGAATGAGAGTTTTTCACCGTCCTGGTCAATTACCCTGTTCATATCACTTTCATATTAGCCGAGGTGAAACTTTCGTTAATTACGTAGTCGTCGCTCAACCTCAAAAATCTTCTATGCTTCGTAAAACGAACAAAAAATCAACAAACACCCAAAACATATTTATAACATAGTATACATCCAAGGAATTGAATGCTAAATACTCCGTCAACCTTTATCGTGACAAGCTTGGTTTATCGACAATTTTTATGTGTAGTTCTGTATAATGGTTTCAATATAGTCAATGGGCCTTGGAGTCTCCCAGAACAGATAGCCATTTATGACCACAGCACTCCTCCCTTTTCTTGTCCAACTCAAGTGCTCCTCCACTCCTGAGCTACATTCATATCTTTAATCCCCTCGGTAACGTCTCACTAACACCATAATTTTCAAAAATGTATCCATCCTGGAATAGAATCACGATTATGGAAGCTGAACACTTTAAATCATCCTGATGTACCTCCCTGGTCTGTCATGTTGCGACATTACAACCATTGTTGGTGGGTAACATACTCAACCTGGAATAAACAGTTGGCATAGAGAACAATCAAAACAACCAGGAACATTTGTACGAAGCTACAAACTACTGATAAATCCGGTAAAATCTGCTAACCTCTAATTAGTTAAAGGAGGAGTTTCAACCTCTAGTTTCTTCCAGATACCTCAAAGAAGACTAAATCCCAGATTAGTACAGCTTATGCTGGATATATGTTGTGACTTTTAAGTTATTAACTTAATTATTTAATTATTGATAATGGCAAAAAGAGGAAAAATTCGAACGGTTGTAGTTCGAATCCCGCTCGTGACACTGACTTTTTTATCTCAACCAAGACCTCAGAAAGAATAATTAACTGATTTAAATTATTAATTTTAAATCTTATGTCAAGCCCGTGAATGTAGTCTCATCTAGATCAAAAATTTGTCGAACTGCAGTATATCGTCAGTCGGATAATTTTTAGGAAATTCTGGTCCGCCTATCCCTGCAGAATCAAATACCTAGGTTTGCTTTTAAATCGACGCCTTACCATCAACGCATAAACATTGTCCTGAATCTGTAACAGGTCAGTAGAAAACAGCTTTAATAGTAATAGAAACTCATAACCTAGTAAACAGAGGCCTGTCCTGTTCAGGGTAGCAGCCACAAAACTGGACCAAGTGCTATGACATTGATAGCATTAGAGGATTGTAACAAACACAGCCTGGTTCTTTTGGTATAAACAGTTGCCACAAGTTCTCAAAGTTGCATCAGATACAATTTAACCGTAAAATGCCAACCCTTAATTTATTTTCGCGATTCCAAGCCCAAAGAAGGTTGAAATCCATATTATTGACGGGTGTCCTGGATATATTTGTGATTTATGACATTAAATGTCAAACCGGTGTCTGTTGTTTTAACCGTTTAGAGCAAATGGCGTACAAAGAAATACATAATTATACAATACGCAAAACAGCGAGACTAGGCAGACCAGGAACGGATATGACCAAAGCTACAGTTCCATCTACGGCAGGCGTCAAGGAGAAATATTTTTAGGGTGATGAAGGTTAAATTAAGGTATGGATAATTAAGTAATAGAGTAAGTGTACAATTATGATCTACTTACTTAGCCAAGTGTGGAGATCGTAACCAAATAGATTCTATTTCATGTTCTATTAGTCTAATGGTTTAGTTGTTTTACCCTTTAGTCTATTTTTTTGTATTGAAGCTTGTTTTTACCTCAACGATGGTTTTTCATATGTCTCTTTAAACCAAAACCGTCGAACTGAATTAGGAGTTCATTAGGGTTGCTGAGTATAAAAATAAAAAATAAAATCAATGTAAGATTTCTTATTGAGATCTGCGCGATGACGAACTGTATCTTAATCGTTTCCAGTCAATTCAGCCTGTCATTTGGATCTTTAGCCATCTTCAGTAGTTTTTCTGTATGTTACTGCCTCAATCGAGTTCGAATAATTATCAGACCACGCTATAGTTTCACCGTGGTAAGATTTTTTCTCAAGGTCTGCGGGTGATGAACCTGTAGCCTTATTTGTCCAGTCGGTTTTTTTCGTCATGTTCATTGTTTTTTCTGTGTGTTATTGTGTCCCAATCGAGTCCGAACAATTATGTGACCAAATTCTCGGCTGTCCATCCTCGGTTTTCGTCCTTTCGACTTCCTCCTTCCATCTTCAGTACTTGTGCTGTAAAAGTTTTGCATCCTCACGTGTGTTTTTAAATTGTGTCAAAGAGGGCTGCTATAGTGTCAGTCTTAGCACATCGGTGCCCAGTTTGCCTTCGGGGGTAAATCGTGATTTCGCTGACAAGGGCGTTATCCTTTTAGAGCCGACGTAAACTCCCGGACGAGTATCCTTCCCCTGCCGAATAAACCTTGGCCAGCTTGTCACGACACGTGCACGTCTCACGTGTTTTATTCCGGTCAGAACCCCTCCGGGACGTGAGTCAGCCAATCGCATTACCGACGCCCTTCATCAACATTGATCCTCTTGTTCATTTGCCCAATTGCTCTGTCCGACGTTTAAAAGAAATTCAGAAACACTGTTGCACTCGTCTCGTTAATATTTATGCCCGGGCCGCGAAGTGACTTTCTTCGAGCCGGTCTCGCTCTGACGACGCGTTAAATTTTCCCTTTTTACTTTCTTGAATTATTTACAAAGGCTCTTTGGCCCGGAGGCTTCGCAATCTTTTTTTTGTTAACTCTCCTGTTTAACAAGACGTGACAAAACCATTTTTATCAAAGCCAACTTTTTAAATTCGCATCAATTGTAAATTTATACTAAATGTACATTTTTCTTATGTTTCAGGTAATTCAATGTCTTGCGAAACTTCTCTACAATTAGGGATATCTTTAAGGTGAAGGTAAAATAGCTTATAAACAGAGAGCTTTTAAAATTGAAAAAACATTCATTTTTAAAACAACAGACCCAACCAAACCATCAAATCCTGAAAAAAATCCGGTTTCTACGGCAAATGGTCAATAAACCTGCAAACTTGAAAGAATACAACTTCTAAAGTTGATAATTTTGGTTTAAAAGGCATACAAAACCAAATAAAAACCAATGTATACAACTGTAAAACATAAAGTTGATAATATTGGTTTAAAAGGCATACAAAACCAAATAAAAACCAATGTATACAACTGTAAAACGTAAAGTTGATAATATTGGTTTAAAAGGTATACAAAACCAAATAAAACCAGTGTATACAGCTCTAAGACGTAAAGATGATAATGTTGCTTTGACAGGCATGCAAAACCAATGTACACAACTTCTAAAACGTATAGTTGATTAAGTTGCTTTAAAAGGCGTACAAAACCAAATAAGCGCCTTAGATACCCTCATATTTGTGTCAAAACGTACCTTTCCTCCTTGTGGGCACTGGGTGTGGTTTTATTATCCAATGGGCAAGTACTTTATGGTATAATTTTCATGCAGGTATTAGAAAAGTGCAGTCCCTGGTCCGTCTAGCCTCGCTGCATTTTGCAACATAATTTTAATTATAAAAAAAATCAAACAAGGACAAACTCGTGAGACTTACTATTTTAATTTCCATCCTTATTCTAGTTTTTCATAACCAAGAGTTAACTCGTCTGTCTATTACAGTTGATGAACAATTTTGAAAATTGCTTATAAATTTGACAGTTATGACGCGCCTATCTTCTTAATCATCCGGCAATGAAATTCAATTTGCCACATCACTTATCATTATTCTTTCTGTTGTTTCTTGTTGGATTGTTTAATAAATTAAATTCAAATCTTCACAAGTTGTACAAGTGTTATTAATGTTCAAGCGGTCGTTCGTCGGGATAGAAGCAGAAATTAAAGTCCTCATTACTTAACCGGTTTGTGAAACAACCCTCGGAACAAATGGAACATTGAACTATAAAAGCGCCGAGCCACCCTTTCTAGAAATGTCCGTTTCAGAAACATAAATGACAAGAGGAGGGCGTCGTGTCTCACCTGGACCAGGGGGCGGATTTACAAATTACCGGTTTTCAAAACGTACTAATTTTGTTTTGTTGTTTATAAAACATCTGGGATTTTTTCAACGTCGCAGGCCGGAAGTGGTTTTTCAGCGGAAACTCTTGCCCGAGGTCCGTTTGAAATAATCGATTTTGGTGTGATTTTCTCTTCCTTCATTTCCAGATCGCCTGGAATGTAATCGTAATTTTTTTAACAAAATCTGTCATGAATTTCAAAGCTGATTTAAATGAGTCGTTTATCTCTAGCTCTTATCGAGATCCGACGAGGACGCTTCATAAATAACCGACCGGTTGTGCCTATTCATCTATCTTGTCCTCGTGCAAACTTTCATCTTGAAGTTCAAGTAACAGCTCCACTGCTCTCTTAATTAACAGAAAATAACATTGCCAACTTATACTTGGGAACGATCATTTTGGTCATAGAATTCTTAAATTATTCGGATTTCTTTTTGAGTTTTGTTAAATCGTTTCTGTTTTACTGTCTTGGACCGTCAGGCGCGTTTCGATAAACGCATACAAAAGGCGTACACACGTAGAAGCGAATAGAAGGGGTTATTAGCAGTATAGTATTTACATTGATTCTTTTACATTATTGTCGTGAGTTTCACAGAAACAGCGAGAACAAGCGGGCCCAATGGCACATCGAACTTCCGATCGTTGATCTGTTGTTAACATTTCTGATGTCTAAGTTTATCCTGGCCGACTTATGTTCTTTGTTTTGGTCACTTAGGTTTCAGATACGTTTTACGCATTTCGTTGCCGACTAAAAGGAGACGGAAAAACACAGATACACCATTAAAACAGGATAAATTTGATAAATTACGTCGATCTGGTAGTTATCGACACCCTGGTGTACCCAATTCCCGGCAGGTGTGGTTTGGTAGACGTATGTTGGCATTTCCCCGTTACTAAAAAGGTCATATCTACTGTAAAACAAATTAACTATTGAAGATAGTGATAATAAAAAAGAAAAATGGCAAAAAGGAGGGAAAATTCAAAAAGGTGGGGTTGAGATGGGAAGTTAGTGTTCGAGTGAATCGAGGTCACGATAGCTCAAGTGGTAGAGCAGCGGCGTATCGTGGTTTGAATCCCGCTCGTACCATTGACTTTTTTATCTCAACTAAAAACCTTAATTCATTGTAATAATAAAAACCTCAGTTTGGTCATTTTCGTTCATCCTTATCTTCCCGTCCTCACTGTTTTAGGTCGTTCCCGGTCATACTTATGTCCAGTTACTTCGGACTGATTTCGATCATCCTCGTGTCATACCTAGCGTGTTTGGTCTAGTAGACGTATTTTGGTATTTCACCGTTTATAAAAAGGACATAAACACTGAAAAACGCATAAACCAACCACTACAGATGGCGATGATTCCTGAACAACCTGTTTGGTCATTTACGATCGTCCTGGTTTTGTGGAATCATGTAACCTGTAACTTACTAGTACTGTAACTTATCATTCTGGTCTGCATGTCCGCTGGTTTCGCTCATTTCTGATGATCCTGGCCGGTCTATTTCCTCGTAATTTTTGATTCGTATGTACGGTAAATGTGGATTGTTTTATCCTATTCCCGGCAGTTTTGGTCTCTGTGTTAAATTTTCCTGGGATAGAAATGATATCAACACGGATAAACGTGCAGACCAACTACTGAAAATATTTAAAAGTAGAATTACATAGGTTTGGTCGTTTCCGATCATTGTAGTCTTCCGAACCTCGCCGGTTCAGGCAGTCAAGTGGATTACACCATCAATAGATCGGACTTAAATCCGGAAAAATACACAGACCAACCGGTGAAGATTGCAAAAACTATTACATTATTCACTTCAAACAGTTAGCAAGACCAGTTAGGTTCTTCTTTCCTTTGCTGCCTAGTGTATTTCTGCAGATTTGGCAATAATCCATCAGCTTAGAGAACACCAATTTATCTATTTGAAAACTGATGGATGAACCTGTGGTTTGGTCCTTCCCTGTCATCCTGGCCCCCTTAACCTCGCTGGTTTGGTCTGTCAAATATGTTTTTGACATTTCTCAAGCTCATAAACGGGACATACACGCCAAGAAACGCACAGATAAAACTCCTTATGTTTAAAACCTAAATTACTTCAGTTTGGTCGTCATAGACTAACCCCCTGATGGAAAAAATCAACATTCAGTTGGGTCCTTTCTGGGATCTTGGTTCTCCTGTTCTGACTGGTGTCTGCCAAGCGAGTTATGACACTTCGCCTTCCAGAAACAGGACATATAAACGGAGAAGCGCACAGACCAACTATTGAAGATGTCTAAATTAAAAGTTACTTCAGTTTGGTCTCCATTTACCATCCCGGTTTGTTCTTGCAAGCTCGTTTTGGCATTTAACCATCCATAAAAAGATCATAAAAACGGAGAAATACACAGACCAACAAGATGGCTAACTTATATATTATTTCGGTTTGATCGTCCCGAGGGACATAGTCCGCCTATCCTCGCCTGTTTGTTCTGGGAGGCTCGTTTTGGAAATTTATCATAAATAAACAGACATACAGATAGAGAAACGCACAGACCGATCAGTGAACAAGACTAAAATTTCTAAATTATTTCAATTTGGTCTATACCTACCATACTGGTGTGTTCTTGAAAGCTCGTTTTATCCATAAAAAAAACTTTGACATGGAAAATCCCTAACTTACCGCTGATATAGCAACAATTTATGTTTTTAGGCAATATATGACTAATTATAAGTATATTCGTAACAGGTCCACAATTATTTTTCAAGAATTTTATGTTAATCCTCCTCTCTCTATGTAAAATTAATATTCAACGTACTCCAAGGAGACGAAGAGGAACGAGCTGTGGTAAATCACTCCGTGAAATTTCGATTGCACAGTTATGAAATTACAGCTTTGTTTCTGACATTTCTTGAGGCGTATTCCGCAGATCCGTATCTTCGGTTCATACACCGTCACGAATTAACGATCCGCGATTTAAACAAATTATAAGCTAGACAAAAGAAAAGAGCCCATTACCATTAGAAAAAAAAAGAAAAATCAGGCATGATTTAGTGCTTCCGTCGCGATTAAAACAGGATCCTCGTAATAAAAGGAGAGTAAAGAGAGAAATAAAAACATCGTAATTGCCAAAGGGCTAGGAGTTTACAATTGAATTTATAATTGAAGGCGAATCGGTTGACAGATGTTTCGAAGTGTTACAGACGGACAAAACTCATTCTAACAGTTCTAATTACAGCACAAAATAGGTCAAAAATTAACCGAGAGCCTGGTGAAAGAAAAAAATCTTAAGCCCCCCCCCAAACGTATGATTATAAATTAACCATTGAACACCTTTGAACGTTTAGTATATTCAAAGGGCGAGTAAATAGGGAAAAAAACTGACCGCTGTGAAGGGTGGAACCACCCCACCTTGGAACGATATTGAAACCACCCTCTGATCGCCCCTGGGAAACGCAGCGGGAGGCGAAGCGAGAGCATTAAAAAAAAACGTTTCGCCACTTACCGTTTAGCTTAATGGGTGTGAAGCTTGAAAAAATAAGAAGGAAGGTGGAAAGCCCGTCCGAGCAACTGGTACTTTAATATGGTTTAAAGAAAATATTTGAAGACTTGTTTACTTACCATTAAACAAAATATACTTTATTTTTTTATATATAATTACATAAATAAATATACGGACGCGGCATTGTTTTAATGTACATTTCTAATGCCTTACCGAGTGCTTTCTGCTATAATGTCTCGTTTTTCAAATTTCTATCTTTTTCAGTTCATTACGGTCTATACATGGTAAAAAATTGTCCATAGATCCCCTTAGGGATGTAAGTGGAAAAATCCTTTCTTAGCGGCTATCCATGTCATAAGAATGCCCTTCGAAATTTCAACCCTTTAGATCCAGATGTTTGGTCTGGCGTGGTCAGTCAAGGAACTGTTTTATATACACAGACTAGCGATAAGTGTCGAAAATTTCAGCAAGTTTTTCTACTTGTCATAAACAACAAAAGAACTTCCTATAAATGCCTCTGTCTAAATCTCAACGGTAAAGAAGTAATTTCAGGTTTTGGGTTTTTTCAGAATTAGGCCCACTAAATTGTCTATAAACTTCAGAATTACTGACTGTCGAAAAATAATAATGCCTTTGTGAAACTTGATGGCTAAAACGAGTTGATGAACACGTGCTAGCTCATGACTTAATCGAACCTGCGAGAATCCAGTAAAAGGATCAGCATTGATTTGGTTAAAGTGATGGTATGACATGACCCTGTAATCGATCTTGATGAAAAATCGTGATGAGATCTATGCGCCCGGTCACCGCACACCCTCGATCCAAACGCCGGGCGGACCCAGGGGGCGGGCTTCGTCGCTCGTTGCAAAACTTGCCTTACTATTGCGTTCGAGAGCTGGGAGCGGTCAGAAAGGCATTGCGCCACCCAGCCAGGGAACAAAGAAAGGTCGCCCTCATTTACGACAGGCTTGGGACTGTTATTAACCGTTTTTCGAGTCGACAATCATTTGTTTTATTTTTAACCTTCAAAAATATTCAGACATCTTATGTTAAATCGCTCTACAACCCAACATTTCAAAATAATGATAACGAGCGAGTCAAAATGTGAATCTCTTCGATTTAACTCAACTACTTGAATTACTCCATGATTACCTCCTCCACTTTTTAAATACTGGTAAATATGGGCCCGCATTTAATCAAAACGCGTCTTAATATGGTCGTTTCCGATCATCCGGGTCTGCCTAATCTCTGGTGCAGACTGTCAGACGTCCAAAAACCAAACCAGTTAAACAAACTGAAGTAGGTTTTCAGATTTTGACATCTTCGGTGGTTTTGCCCGACGTCCTTTACACAGAAGGCCAATAACGCAAAGATTCGCCTTGACAGACCGTACTAGCTAGGATTTGCAGCCTTAGGATTGGAAACCAAGCTGAAGCATTTGGCACATTTCGCCATCTTCACTTGGTATGTGTGTTTTTCCGTAAATAAGTCTCTTTTTTTGGTTGCGAAATGGGCCAAACGCATTTGTAATCTAAGAGACAAATCATTGAAAATAAGCCGGCCAAGATAAACTGAAAACGCACGAACAGACGAACCATCGGAGAAATACCTATAGGATCACAACCCTACACAAGCCAAAATTAAATCTTCATCCTGTTTCTCCTGTTTGCTAGGTCCTCCTGTTTTCGCTGTTTCAAACTCACAACACTCAGAATTGTAGCACACTGCTAACAACTGACCTGTAAGTTTTTTTTGTTGGTAGGTAAATGCCGAAATGACAGGACAGACCGAAATAGTCAGGATATGGAGATCAAGTTGATCGAAAACGGCCAAACCGAGACCATTTGGCACTTCTCGCCTTCTTCAGTCGTTGGTCTGTGTATTTTTCCGCGTCTGTATCCTTTTCACAGACAGCGAAAAGCCAAAATAAGACGAAAAGAGCGAGGACCAGGTTGTAGAAAGACGAGAAAAGGGGAGTAAATCAATTCAGTGGTTGGTCTGTTTTTGTCTGATTGGGCAGGCAAAAAAGCGAGTATAGGCGGACCTACCACTGAAGACAGCGAAATGTCAAAACGAGCGCGTCAGTAGCCATTGAAATAATTTCCGAGTTTTAGCCATCTCCACTGATTTCTTCGTTTATACGTCCGTGTTTTATCTCGCAAATTCCGAAAGCTGACAAAATAAAAGAGCGAGAACAAGCGGGCCATGTTGTAGAAAGTCTGGCAAACCGAAGTAATTTAGAAGGTTGTGCCATCTCCAGTGGTTGGTCTGTGCATTTATCAGTTTGCATATCAGATTAGTCAGCCCAAAAAGTATAGACCACCATAGTTAAATGCCGATACTCTCAGGCCAAACCAAGGATAGACAGGCAGAATGATATTAATTATGCTATGCTTCCTTATATTGGAATTTTATTCGTCATATTGTTCATCTTCGTTCAGCCGGTTTTATGGTATCTAATAAATCG